GCGTTAATTCAGCCTAGATACCGAATATCCAGCTCCTGTAAATATTAAACATTTAAGAGTGCAAAACTTCAACCTTGTGGAGTAGATATTTGAAGTTATTTAAAGCAACCAATGCTACTCTTTCCCAGGATCCTTTAAATAGTACCTACCATGCACTCGCACGGATTTAGCACTCAACTTTTTAATACTGTTCTTTAGTTTCTGCTTATTCAGACAATACTTAAAACTTCTACAAACACTGACCAGTTATGTTTTTGCCCGTGTGGTCTGTCGTGTGAGCCAAATATCCCAAACTGGTGAACATAATTTAATGAACCGTAGAAAATAATTAGTGGCTGTACCTCTTCAACTGAATAACTTTTGGAGTCAACCCAGTTCAGATGGTCAACCGAGCCAGCCATCACAAAAAAGCACATAACTGTCAAGTTTAACAAATATTCAGCTAAAATGTGATGTGGTAGTAATTACTCAGCATAAGATGGGATTAGTTTAAAACTGACAAGTTTGGTAAGTTTCCCCAGGCTACACTTTGTAATATGACCATTTTATTGTTATTCAACCAATATTTAAAATTAAACCACAAAAATATTTCAGTTTGAGTGTCAAACACCAAACTACCAACACTTGCGAAGGTTCGAGTATAAACAAAAGCCATTGGATGCTTAAATATTAGAGGTGTTTAATCTTGAAAACTTAATTTCTTACATTAGATTTTAGTTTTAATTGTAAAGTTCTCAGGAAAAAAACAAAAAAAACAACAAAAACTAAATACAATTTAATTGGAAAACTAATGTATTGATTTCTTACTATACATGTTCTGTTAGCAAAAACAGTTTCAGTGCAGTCCCCCTGAACTTTACTAGATTTACACTCATTAAATGTCACCATTTAAAAAAATAAAACAAGCAATCAGTTTTAAAACGGTCACAAAAACAGTTAATGTTTCCAAAAAGGCACAGGATGGTCAGTAGAAACTGTATCCTTAGAGAATATTTGCATAATGGAATAAATACATCTGCTGGTCATTCAAATCAAACTGTGCCACAAAAGGAGGAACAGCCATCATACAATTACAGCAGAGCGCAACAGTACAAGTCATTGGAAAACGACCGTATATAAATATATTTTTTTATAAAATATGGACTAAATCCAATGTAAAAGTTATTTAGTACCATTAATCAAAACTATGAACTGAAAGATTTCACTCATATACAGTATTAATAGTATTTGCCAAAATTATATTCAACACATAAAAAATATTATATCCTATATTCTGGGTAAAATGTGCAATTAATAGCTTTTGGGAGAGCAGGTTTGTGATCACAATCGTACACGACGACACATCTGAATTCGTTATTGCCAAATAATTACAGGTTTGCTGGTAAATCTCCCATCACAGGATTGAAGCTTCTTTGTAGAGACTAAATCTGCTCAGTGCTCCTATACGCAGTTTTACAAAATAGTTTTAATACTTAATACTGTGTTGTCTTAGACGTACTACACAGGTATAAGTTCTGAACTGTTTTAAGGGTGCAGAATGAACACGTTTCTTAGATGTAGCTCCAGTCCTTGTATTAGCTGGTTGTATAGTAAGTTTTGGGAGGTATACGTACAAATACATTTCTTTAATAGCTTTTATGTTAGCTGGGAGCATCTTGGAAGCTTAGTTTTATCCTGCCTGAGAAAAAACTTTAACTTCAGCTCGTAAACTGCAGCTATCACAATCATCTTAAATGAAATGCTCAAAAAAAAAATCCTGATAAGATAAATGATTTTCAACTATGTCTTCCGTTAATGCTTTAAAAAGTTTTCATTCTCTACCACAATAAACTCAATTCATTTATATTCTCGAGATTCTGACACAACGGTACAGAAACTGTATTTCTGAGACGACCTCTTAAGGTGCTGTCTGGGAACCAGGTTCACTGAAACAATAACTTCACTGTCTGACATTAAATTCACCGAACATGGAAATGAAGTAGCTCAAAGAATTAGTCTCTTTTCTTTAAAATATTTCCCCATGAGCCGCTGTTTATGTGAACGGTTTTGCCTTACCAGAAGGTTTCTACAAGCATTTATCAAAGCAGGAGACAACCGCTACCACACACTGAAGTCCTTGCAGCTTCGCCTCCCCTCAGTATCAAATGTGTTTTTAAGATACAAACAAAACCTACAAAGGTAGATCCAACAACACACCATTTGTTGCTTATTATAAAACTCCCAATAAAATATGGGCACTTAGAGAAAACCACAAGTCTGAGAAGAAAAAAGAAAGATCCTGTTATCTAGGCCAGATATTGTGTCTCAACCTCACGGCAGAATTATTGTAAGCTAGGTTGTTTTTTCTCTTGACTTTGTAAATATATATATATAGAAAAAAAAGAAGCATGAAGAAACGTCAACTTGTTAAGAAGGCAAGAAAAAAAAACTTATTGAAAAGTAGTGCTTAATTATTGAATCACAGCTGCTGTGAGGGGAAAAGGCATTTCCTTGTTTCCCACATCTGATTTGAAGCAGGTTAGCTCTGACTGGAAGAACTAAAACTAAGTCTGCATCCTAAAAAAAAAATTAGAACTGAAAACGACTGTTTTTTTCTTCTGTCTCATAGAAAAAAAATCCAGCTGATAGCATGTAATTGAATTATCCAGAGAATAAAACAAATAGCATTTGTTAAATTATCCCTCTGGTCTTATCGTCTATTTTAGAGAAGTGGTTAGGAGCGGTGTCTATGATAATAAGCGTAGCATTGTGCTTTGCGTTAAGCGTGAACGCCGACTTTAACAGTGACTGGTTTGTTGAGTCACCATCTGCAAAAGGACACGGCTCTAAAATTAGTTAACAGGATCAACGGAAATAGGAATCATCAGTTAAACGGACAATATTTTTGGCTAAAATCAGTCGAAAAAAAACAAAAAAAAGACGGGTAAATGAAACAATAATGTTACATGTAATAAAACAAATCTGTTTTTTTGCGTTTGTTTCAGATCGTTCCTGTTAACTGAAGACAAAGAGATATTCATTCAACAATGAAGAGATGCTGGCTGAATCTGACGTCACAAAGACAGAGTATTCTTTGTTCAGTATTGAATAAAAAGCTCTTAGAATAAAACAAAACTTTGCTGTGATCAAAGGACACACATTTTTTTGTACCTTTACTTATGATTCAAATCATGAGAAAAAAAAAAAAAGATTTACACCAAGCACAAAGTAGTTTCTGTCTAAAGAGGGACAGGGCAAGTTCATGTATGTTTCTACACCTTTTGTTCAAAATTAATGGACACATTGGGAAAAGAGGGAGATTACGTGTTAGACAAGTAAAATAGAAAAGCCAAGCTGGCTGCGTGGACACGCTCATTAATTATCATCTGCTTCAAATCTTCAAGTCAAACTCACCTACAAGGATTTTCTTTCAAGCTCAAGTTCAAGAAACTTTATTATCTCCAAGGGGCTATTTGTTTCCCAGTCAGTCGGCACATAAAACATCCGTTCAGACATTCAAGTAACAGTACAGGAATCATCACTGTTCGATGAGAAGCCTGATCGCTACAGGGATGAATGAGTTTTTCAGTCTGTTCGTCCAACATCTGGGCAGCAGATACCTGCGTCCAGATGGAAGCAACCTGAACTCACCATGGAGTGGGTGATCAGGATCTGCCAGAATCAGCCTGGCCTTGTTCACTGACCTCGCCTTGTGCAGCTCAGTGAGGTTCTGTAGGGCTATGCCAGCAGTTTTGCTGCACATCCTGACAGTTTGTTCCTGTTTTTGCATGTTGACAATCCAAACAAACAGATGATGGTGGTACTGGTCAGGCCAGGTGTAATATTCAATAATGGGGAAAATGGCCACAGTTACCGAGTGCGTAACGGACAACAAGTTAAACCTGAATGTTTCAAAAATAAAGTATATGGTATTGGGTTCTAAATATTTTGTAAGACAAACTCAGAGGTTGCATATCTTTATACAAAAAACAAATCAATAAAACGAGTTGAAGAGGTTAAGCTACTGGGAGTCAAAATAGACAAAACTCTTTCATGGTCTAAACAAATTAACAAGATCGTGACTAAGGTGAGCAGAAACATTGCTATAATCTGGCGCAATGCACAGTTTATGTCTCTGGAAATAAGAAAATATTGGTATTACAGTTTTTAGTTCTTTGTCAACTTCAATATTGTTCAGCCGTTTGGTCAAACGCTTCAAAATAACATCTGGATAAACTGCAGGTAGTTAAAAATAAAGCTGCAAGACTTGCACTCGGATGTCCTTTTAGAACAAACATCGATTTCACGCATCAGTGCCCGTCATGGATGAAAGTCCGTGACAGACTAGAATGCAGCTTTCTTCTCTCTTTACACAAAATCTGGACTTCACATAAACCGTTCAGCCTTTTCTTACAGTTGTTACCACCTGCAATAAACGTGCTTTTAATACGTGACGAGCCTCTGTTGTTACTTTTACATTACCTCTGCCGAGGACTAACGCTCTCAAAAAAACAGCCGTATCGAGCAATTTCTTATCGGAACATGCCGCCTGCTGATCATGTTAATTTTAAAAAGAGTCTTAAAAAAAATCTATAATAGAAAATGAAATAAAAACGAATTGATGAAATTACAAATTTATAATAGAAACGAAGATTGTCAACTTTAGAAACGGTGAATTTTTGTGTTTTAAATTCTTCCGTGTTTTAAAGTATTTCATCATTTTGTAATGCTTGTAAAATGTTCTTGCTGAGAGACGGTTGATGTAAATTTTTGTGTTATGATTTTGTTTTTATCGGTGGTATTTTATTGTCTTTTTGTACGTTTGTAAAAGCATGATTTAATTGCAATGTCTGTGGTGTGGACCTCAAGAAGAATAGTCTCTACTATGGTAGAAACTAATGGGGATCCTTAAATAAACTAATAACTACAGTCACTTTAAGAGAAATTCTAAATCTTTTGAAAACACAGTTTTATCAAATGTTGTAACGTCTGCATGACTTGAAGGGAAACCCAGTCCTCACCAATGAGGTCCCTGGCCATTTCTTGATCCTCCTGAATCTGGCAGACATCAGAAAGCTGCAGCAGACAATCAATGTGGTATGGGTTGAGCTGAAGCAGGGCCTGCAGTGAAAAATCCAGAAGACAATAATTAACTTAACAGAGCTGGATGGACATATACAGATCGTTGTTTAAGCAAACCAGCCTTATGTTGGAAGCCTGTTGCTGGTTAGAATGAGGAGAAGGTGGTTTGTGAGATTAAGGCTTATCATTTGACTACTTGTCTATTGTTGTCATCATTCTTTGTTGAAATCAGGTCTCTCTTGTAAATGAGTCCTTGATGCTCACTGGGATTAACCTGTCTAAATAAAGGTTGAATTTAAAAAAAAAAGGCTTATCTGGCTGGGCTCACGTTGGACATTATAAAGATGTACAGTATTTACGCTGTCTATCCACAAAAAAAAAAATAAAATCATATATAATTTCAAATAAACTTCCCAAAATTAAAGTCTGGATTAGAGAAAACTACAGTCGACACTCTAATCATTTTTTCTATCCGACTGGCAGTGAAAAAAAATACCTTCACTAAATCGTAATGTAAACTAATTAATATCAATCTAAAAAAAATCTGCAGAACTAAATGTTTTGTTACTTTACCAGAGCAAAATCATAAAATCATTAAATGTGGATTATTGAACATCAGATCTCTTTCCTCTAAATCCCTGTTAGTTAATGAACTGATAACTGATCATCATATTGATTTATTGTGTCTGACAGAAACTTGGCTACAACAGGAGGATTTTGTTGGTATAAATGAATCCACTCCTGTTAATTATTTAAATGTTCATGTTCCTAGAACAACTGGCCGAGGTGGAGGAGTAGCTTCTATTTTTCAGTCAGGATTATTGATTAATGCCAAACCAGTTATTAGTTATGATTCTTTCGAATCGCTGTCCCTCAGTCTTTCTCATCCAAAATGGAAACCAGAAAAGCCGCTTTTACTAGTCGTTATATATCGTCCACCAGGCGCTTACTCTCAGTTTTTGTCTGAATTCTCAGAATTATTAACTAACTTATTATTAAATACTGATAAAATCATCATAATGGGTGATTTCAATATTCATGTAGATGTTGAAAGTGATGGCTTAAGCATAGCCTTTAATAATTTAATAGACTCATTTGGTTTTACCCAAAACGTCCGCACATATACTCATTCTTATCATCACACTCTTGATTTAGTTCTGACCTATGGTATAGAGATTAAGGACTTGGTAATAGTTCCTCAAAATCCTATTCTGTCCGAACATTTTTTATTAACCTTTGAGTTTACATTAAATGACTACACAGTCACTGAGAGTAAATTTCATCTCAGCAGGTGCTTCTCAGAAAATCCTGTAACCAAATTTAAACAATCTCCTCCATCAATGTTTTCCTCTGTCTTGCAGAGTAATGCATCAGAGAACAGTGATTTAGATCATCTAGTTGATCATCTTACAACTTCAATGCAAACGTCACTTGACAAAATTGCTCCGCTGAAAAAGAAAGTAATCAATCAGAGGAAACTGGCTCCTTGGTTCAATTCTGAGTTACGTACTTTAAAGCAGCATCTAGAAACCAGGAGAGAAAATGGCGCTCTACTAATGTTGAAGAATTTTATTTAACTTGGAAAGATGGTCTGCTAACATATAAAAAAGCTCTCCGTAAAGCTAGAACTTTTTATTACTCATCTTTAATAGAAGAGAATAAAAATAACCGTAGGTTTCTGTTTAGTACTATTGCTAGACTAATCAAAAGTCCCATTTCTGATGAACCATGTATCCCTATAACTATAAGTAGTGATGACTTCATGAGATTCTTTGTAAATAAAATTATTTCAATTAGAGAGAAAATTCAAACCGTCCTTCCTTCTACAATCTCTAGTCCCCTGTCAAATGAGGCAATTTCACAACACAAGTTCACAACAACTTCACTGCTCACAATATTTTACTACAGAGGCTTGAATATGATATTGGGATTACAGAATCAGCTCTAAAATGGTTTAAATCATATCTATCTGATAGATTCCAGTTTGTAAATGTAAATAATAAATCTTCTTCATACACCAAAGTTAGTCATGGAGTTCCTAAGGGCTCAGTGCTTGGGCCAATACTCTTTACTTTATATATACTTCCATTAGGTAAAGTTATTAAACAGCATGGTATAAATTTCCATTGTTATGCTGATGACACGCAATTATATTTGTCCATTAAACCCAATGAATCCAATCAGCTACTTAGACTACAAGCATGTCTTAAAGACATAAAAACCTGGATGACCCTTAATTTTCTCCTTTTGAACACAGACAAGACTGAGGTTTTGGTTTTTGGACCTGAGCACCTAAGGAATGAATTTTTAAGTATTTCTCCCTCCTTAGATGGCATTAATCTATCCTCCAGCTCTAATGTTAAAAATATTGGTGTTATTTTTGATCAGGACATGTCTTTTATCCCCCACATTAAAAACGTTACTACAACTGCCTTCTTCCACCTGCGTAATATCGCTAAAATTAGAAACATCTAAAAATGATGCATAAAAACTGGTCCATGCATTTGTCACATCTAGACTGGACTATTGCAATGGTTTATTATCTGGATGTCCAAATACTTCCTTAAAATGTATTCAGCTGATCCAAAATGCTGCTGTCAGAGTCTTAACTCGAGTTAGTAGGAGAGATCATATCTCTCCAGTTTTCTCTCCACTGGTTCCCTGTGAAATCCAGAATAGAATTCAAAATCTTACTTCTAATCTACAAAGCTCTCAACAACCTAGCTCCATCTTACATTACAGATCTTATTGTTCCATATTTTCCTAACAGAGCACTTTGCTCTCAGACTACAGGCTTACTCGTGGTTCCTAGAGTTTCTAAAGGCAGAATGGGAGGAAGATCTTTCAGTTATCAGGCTCCTCTCTTGTGGAACCAACTTCCAATCTCTGTCTGTGAGGCTGACACATTATCCAGTTTTAAAACTAGACTTAAGACTTTCCTTTTTGCTAAATCCTATAGTTAGGGTCGGCTTGGGTTTCCTGAGCTGTCCCTTAGTTATGCTGCTATAGGCTTAGACTGCTGGAGGACAAACTGACCACAATTTTCACTCTGCTACTGTCTTTACTTACTCTGCTCAACCTGTTTTGTATTTGTGATTATTTTTTCTATCCTTAACATGTGTTTTTTGTCTTTCAGATACACCTGGACCTATACCTGGACCTACCATTCTGTGTTCGTCTGTCTCTCCTTCCTGTCCTCTCAAACCAGCCGGTCAAAGCAGATGGCCGCTTGTCCTGAGCCTGGTTCAGCTGGAGGTTTCTTCCTTTTAAAAAGGGAGTTTTTCCTTTCCACTGTTGCCACTGGGCTTGCTCAGGATGGGAGACTGCGACGAAGCCAGGATTCTTTAGATAGAGAACTTTGCTAATTGGCTTTTATGTATGTGAAAGTTCCTGTAAAGTGCCCTGAGACAACTCTGTTGTGATTTGGCGCTTTATAAATAAACTGAATTGAATTGAATTTTCAAGTGTACTCTGTCAGATTCGACAAATACTATTGCATAGATTAATAAAGTTCAATATGTGTCAGCTTGGGTATTTATAATTACAAACCGGCACTAAATGTACATCATCACAAAAGAATATGTTAATTTACCTATTTAGTGCTTCTGACTTGTTTTAATGGTACGCTGGCATTAAACATGATTCCAAGCCCAGAACTACCCTGGTGTGCTCAGGAGGGAAGAAATGTGCCTTCCCAATTTTGGTTTATGGCAAATCCTGCTTTTTATAAGATATCACGTGAAGTACTAGATAATAAAGACAGTTTTAAGATGCGTTATTTACTTTATTAAAGTCCGATCAACGTTTAGTAAAGAAAACCAAGACAAGCACACGAATCAGGGTCTTTGTGGCCTGTGTTGTGATGACAGTGCCTTTTCTGAAGCTAAAACGTAATGTACACTCAGACGACGCACAGAAGAAAACTTACAACAATGTTGTTAGGATCCATGGATTCGACTGCATCCAGGAACTTGAACTGTACTTGTTGGTAGTCCCGACCATGTTCGAAGGTGAAGAACTGGAGGCCATTCTTTGACTCCAGTAAGGACATTGAAATTCCTGAGGAGACATTGATCACAAATTAAAACAATTAAGAAATGAAAATTATATTCTGGTGTTTTTTCCATATATTTATATTATTTAAATCTATTTTTTTTATTCCTACAGTCACTGAGCATATTTAATATAAGATTATATGTTCAAAAAAGAACACGCAGTCCTCAGAAATTTGATTTATACAAGTAAAAAATGTTTCAAAACAGTTCATTTCAGCACAACTGCTACAACTTTTGGTACATTGTTTTCTGTCATGACCTCAATAGCATAGGAGATTATTCACCAGCTTTACATTTTGTAAAAAAAAAAAACAATTAAAAAAAGACTGAACACGTTATTAAATGTCTCAAACACAAAACTCTGTGTTCTGATAGTTTAATTTATTACTTTCATAACAACCTAAATTGATGTTTATGGTTAGAAGGTTATCTGGCCACAGTGCGAACATCTGTCAGTCAGATTAAATAAATGAGTCAGTGACGTCACAGTGTGGCACTAAGTTTTTTTAATTATTTTTTCGGCTGCTCCCTTCTTCAGGGGTCGCCACAGCAAACTGACTCACACGATGGCTTGGTGATTATTTTTATGCCGGAAGACACAACCACAGCCGCCGAGCTACCACAGCCCTCTGTGTGGAGCAGAGAGCTGCTAGGGTGTCTGGGGGAGCAGATGTGGGGATTAAGGGCCTTGCTCAAGGGCCAAGAGTGGGGCACATGAGGGTGGAGGCAGGTGTGGGTGCTTCTAGGCCTGTCACGATAACAAATTTTGCTGGGCGATTGTCTCGGAAATTATTATGATAAACGATAATACTGTTTGAAATTTGACAATAATTAATAATTACTGTCAAATTGAAGAAAAAATAATGGTTAATTTTTGTGTGTAGTACCTTTTTCTGATCACTAGATGGCAGTGTAAGACTGTTTGACATGAAGGATGGATAGTGAGGGAGAGAATAGCGTGTCTCTTGAAGAAAAATGGAAGGGAGGCTCCTTGGTGTGACTTTGGCTATTTCTCGTTCCTGTTTTTCGGTTCTCAAAATGGCAGATGCTCGGTGTGGTTTGAGCTCTTTAGCATAGCATTTTTCACACAAAGCTTTTAATAAAAAAAATCAGTAAACAAGTTCTCAGCTTCTTTTTGCAGAGAAAAACAAATTTTACACAAAGGCACGGGTTTCAACCGTGAATTTTGGAGCTTCGACAAGACAGAGGTTTTTTCCTGAGGTCGGCCTGTTAGCTTAGCTCGTAGCTTAGCTTCTCAGTTTAGCTGCTTTTAACGATCCAAAAACACGATTTTAAAGAAAAGAGAAAGGGCGGGGTCAGTGAAGAGAAATGGAGTTGAGCCTTTTGTCATCCAGTGTCTTCAGTAGAAAGAGAGAGACGAAGAAACGATAAAGCCGATAAATGAAAATGAGGTCGATAATTTTCATTTATCATGCGATTAATTGATTTATTGTTTATTACGACAAGCCTAGGTGCTTCACTTATCCCACCCACATTTTGATGTTGTCGGTACCAGGAGTTGAACTGGCGATCTTCCGATAACAGGCCTACTTTCTCTAACCTCTGCGCCACCACTCCCTCCAGTAGCTACAGATAAGTACGCTGTTAAAATGAGTAGGTTTAAGAGTTAACAACATTGGTTGTGGGCTTCATCACTTCAGAGTAGGTCTGCAGAAAGCACAGAGTCAGATGACCTCATTAATTCAAGAAGCTGTTGGATTACCTTACACTGCCTGTAAATCTTTACAGTACTTTACAGCTTTCATTGTCAATAAATCAACTGTTTGTGTGTAAAGTCACAAAAAAAAAACCTTTTTTTTGCATTCAATACAATCAGAATCACTAAGGAGCTTCAGTTTTGATTTGAGATTAGACTGATTGAAAACATTTGGCATCTTATGTTTAGCTTGTTGCTCCCGTTTTCGGTCCAACTCAGAAACATTAAATGATATATGAAACCATCTAACAATGTTTTACCACATGCAAAGCTGTCAAGAGACATTCCCACTTAAAAACAGCAACGTTACATTTTTAAATCACATCTTCTATATTTTCTAACATTGTCGTGATTTACAAGACGATTCGTCAGAACTGTTTGATGATCTAACAAAGCGCACCTGGACGGCTGAAACGAGGCCAACTGTCCTTTGGACTGGTCATCCAGATACTGCGGTGGAAATGTCTGTTTCTTTGTCGAGGTCTGGTGTTAAAAAAAAAGTGCATGCATACAGAATTTATTTTGTTTTATTTATACAAACAACAAGGATCATTTAAATTCAAACATAAATTTATTTTTACTATACCTTTGATCTCCTAATACAGCTCGAGCACCAAAGAATCTCTTCAGCTCAGTCTCAGGGTTGAGATTTCTAATAAAATAGCACAAAAACTGACATTGAAATACTGAAGCGCAAAAGTTATGATGGGAACCTGAGGAGGGAATGCAGTTTGATGAATTGTCTGGTTTGTAAAACTATAACGATAACAAAATAGTCTTTCTAAGAAAAGAAGTCTCAAGACTGCACACTAGGCAATAGATAAAATCTGACGATGAGAGTACAAAATGAAGAAAAATGTTAGCCTGTTTTGAACAAATCAATTTCTACATTATTATCTGTGTCTCCCAATAAAAAAGAAAAAAAAAAACTTTCTTGTTAGATTTTCCTGGTAGCAGCATGAAAATAAATCTAAGTGAAATGTTCTGCAGCAGATAACTGCCTAAAGTTACTGTTTGTAAAACCACCAGAATGTGTGTAACCCCCACGTTGTTTAACTTTGTTTCCAAATTTACTGAATTGATCCACTTCGCCTCACTGGTCATCAACAGGTCACAATAATTTGCCTTTACTGTGTGTGATCAGCACCACCCTATGGTAGCTTAAAGGATTCACAGAATCACAAATGGTGTTAGAAAACAGATATTATATACACAGAAAGGTAATTATTAGATTAGGTCTTGTTAAACGTATGCAAAACATTTTAAATGATATGCACAAAACTGTGCTGTGAAGTGAATCTATTATTTATTGATCTGCTTCCTGATACATTCAATATTATTTTATTATGTTAATAACCTTTATAATCTTTTTGTTACTTTAAGGAAATTGTGAATTACAATGTTACTTGATATTAATGCAACTCCATGTAGAGATCAATGCCTCTGCCACCATCTGTCAAGTCCTATATTTTGTCTGAATAGAAGATGCTGCCCACCTGTGCTCCACGTGCATCACTGATTTTCTGTTAAAGCCTCCCCCATCTTCACTTTGTAGACTCAGACCATTGGGCTGCTCCAGATTTTCCAACAATAAATCAATATTTTCTGGTTCTTCTCCCTAATAACAGTTTAAAAAACACAGTGAAAACAATGTGACATTTAATTTTTATTTGGTTGCCAAGAAAAACAAAGAGTTTGTATTATTATTGTACTGACTACTTGAATCATTTCTGCAAGACACTGCTGTTAGTTAGATAATCATTTTTATTATCTAACAAGGTAATAACACATTTTTACTATGTAGTGTAAGTTACATGATATATTCAACAAATTTACTTGTCCATTTTCCGATGCCACTTTTGTTTTCTTCTTTTTCTTCTTCTTTTTTACTCGGTTTTCAGACTGCTAAAGAAAACAGACAGTGTGGAAAAGGTGTACATATTTTAGTTAATCTGTAATATTTTACACATTCTTTTTGATTCCGTCTTACCTTAGTAGATACTTCCTCATTGTTTTTATCTTGTTTCTCAGTGTCTCTGTTATTATTCTTTCCTGCACCACTTGCATTATTTATCTCTGGTTTCGCCGCCTCTTCATCAGGTGAAATCTTCTCCACCTCATTGTCTGCGTCACATATCTATAAAGGAAAAACGGGTAACAGTGTAACATCTGCTTCAGTTAAGAACAAACAGCACAAGCACATGAAACACTAATACAATCGGTTCTGCCTTTAACATCAAGTCGTCATCTGCTGAGTTCATATTTAAAGCTGGATTCTGTTCATAAACACTGGAATGTTTGATGACAAAAATGGAAACAAGACATTCTGATCAATGTAATGTAACAACTTCTCAAATGCTTTTATCGCTAAACACTTAAAAATAAGCTGTTATCACTGTTCTATACTGTTTTTTAAATCACTAAAGGCAGTTAAATGACACATTGTTGTTTATTTACTGCTTTACATTACATTTAGAGAAAAGGTTAAATATCTCAGAAAAGAGTTGTTGATCAATAATTGAATGAGAAATAAATAAATTAGACTAACCTGTAAAGGTTGAATGAATGAAAGAAAATTACCAAAAAAATGTACTTTTTCTATTTCAGTGCGGTTTGTTCTAATGAACTTTTAATTAATTTTTAATCCTAGTAGAGGACATAATACTTCTTATTTTAGTTAAGAACTATCATATAAAGTAGATATTTGAATCAAAATAATTAAAGTTTTTAACTTTTGTAGCTGTACTAAAATCCATTCTCTAAAGTTTGTTACAGAACAGCACTTTGAATCATTTTTGAGTTAAAAAAAAAAAGTTGTATGTTTAGGAGAAATTCAGCTAAGTTACTTAAACATGTAGTAAAATAAGCTAACGGTTAGCCTGTTAGCAAACAAGCTAATGTAAACAATCAAGAAAAGACACAAAGTGATGCCAGTTGGGGGTGATTTTCTGTCTCTTTACCAGCTCATAGATGTTACTGATGTTTTTCTGAGCCTTGTTTTTCTTTTCCTTTCTGCCTTTGCTGTTGGGAGAAACAGTAGCCGAGTCCAGCTGCTCCTCCTCGGTGTCGGCTTCAGCCTGCTCCCCGGGGCTCTCACCCAGATCCCCGAAGTCCAAAGCCTCCTGACCCCGCTGCTTCCCTCTGAGCCTCCGTAGAGCCCGGGTAGACATGCTTCAATATTTTAAAGTCACGTACAATTCAGGTTTTCTTCTTTTTGTTTGTAAATGTATTTTACGACAGCTGACAGACAACACACCAATGAGGTGAGGATAAATTTCGTTTCTTCTTCTTCGTTTTTTTTTTATGGCGGTTGGCAAGCAACGTTTAGATGTGCATTACCGCCATCTGCTGGAATGGAGTGTGGATCGGGATGTTAAATAAATACTACACAGGTTTTTAACAATAAATAAATTAATTAATTAAAAATACATATATATAATAATAATAAAAAAATAAAAAAGAAAAAGAAAAATTGGAAATTTCATCTGTTTCCTTTTTCTTCTGCTAAATATTCACCACATCTTAACGCCACACTGCCCTCTACAGGCGAGATAAAAAAATACAACAAACACGCTGACGTGTTATTTTTATTATTTTTATCCGTTTAAACGTGACCATGGTTAGACAAAAACAAACTATGAAAATAGCAAAAAATATGTATCAATAAAAAACGGCTTCTCTGGATGATAGTTCAGAAAGAGTTAAAAAACAAGTAAGATAAAAAAAATTGAAAAAGTTAATAGTTTTCACTTACATCATAAAACAATTTAAAATTATGTACAGAAAATATTGAAAATACAATACATTGTGTCTGAAACTTTTCACGTCAGTCTCTTTGTTGTGAACGGTTTTAAAATTTTGATGTTATTGTTTTATAATGTTCCTCAAAGTCTATTCTCAGGTTTACAATTTATTGACAATAAAAACGGTGACCTAAATTGGTGACTCCTGTTGCGTAAGAAGATTATTATTATTTTTTAAACATTTAACATCTTTAATATGTTGTATGGGGAGTGGTGGAGCAGAGGATAGAGGTGGTGGGCCTGTAATCTGAAGGTCGCTGGCTCAACCCCGCCGGACAAACAGCATCAAAATGTGGGTACACTACTTTGTGTTTGTGACTACAAACATCTTAATGTGAGCTAATAAAATTGAGGATAAACTTTAAGGCCTAAAGAGTCAGGGTACAGGAGCGGTAGGGCTGACAGCCATGGATTTTTGGGATTGCAGGTAACATCGGACCTGAGCTGGTCTCTCAACACCACAGCCACAGTGGAAAAAACCCCAGCAAACGTTTCATCAGGCTACTAAGGAAAGCAGGTCTGAACCGGCGCCCTCTCATCCAGGCCTACAGAAAACTGATAAGAGTATCCTAACCACAGGCATTTAGTATGGGGATACCACACAAGCAGAAAGGAAGGCACTGCAAAGAGTCATAAAGACTGCAGAGAAGTGCACAGGGACAACACTTCCTTTATTTTATTAACCTTTATTTAACCAGGCAAATCCCACTGAGATCACTGATCTCTTTTGCAAGGGAGGCCTGGACCTGAAGGCAGACTAACATGCAGGTTTTTTTGGCATGCTGACTGCAGGAATGTCTATGTTCATAGAATTTGGCGGTACATCCAACCGATCTCACAACCACAGACCACGTGCAGCCCCTGTGTTTGTTGTCCATACGCCTGCCCATACCATAACCCCACCGCCACCATGATTCACAATGTTGGCATCAGCAAACTGCTCGGGAGAAAAATCAAGTGTTGTGTTTATATTTTTGTTCAGTATTCACCTTATTCCTGCGGGTGCTCTACTGTATAAACGATTATGGGTGCAACTTCCTGTTAGACACAGGAAGTAGCAGTAAGCGTTGGTTAATCATGGTAGCAGAGCACGGACCGCGGGCTATTTGAAAGTAATTTGCATTCTGTTTAGCAGATAAAACTCTGTTTTTGTTTAGTTCACGTTTATTCAACAACCATAAAGTTTACTAAAATAGCCGTGCTGAGTTCGGGTACCTGTTGTGTTCGTGGCTGCACGAACAACTAGACCAAACTAAATCAGTGACAACAGAGTTTTGAACACGGACACAAAAGAAAAAGAGCGTTCCTGTGAAAAGAGGTGTAGTTTCCATCTCCTACCTACAGATGAGGAATTAAGAAGAATATGGCTGAAAAGTGTGAATTTTAAGAGACCACCCACAACGCTGTACGTGCGCTCATGTCACTTTGTTGACAAACAGCCAATAGAGGAAAACCTGCATCGTGTCTGGACGACAATAAGCCACTGGAGAAGAGACGCCGGATCTTCAGTAGGATTGAAAACAGTGATGAGAACATCAGGGATGATTTCAAGTGTATGAAGCAGCTTTATAGTATTTGTCCATCTTCAGTTTTATGATTTTCTCTGTAATGAACCCAAGCTCAGTGATGGAGGACTTTAAGGCTTTGGCTGGACTCTGTGTCTGCTTCAAGGTCAATAAGATTGTGTCCCACCTCTTTTAACAGAACACCACCGACCTTATTACTGTGGAGATACTGATACACCTCAGAGCTTTCCAGGTTGTTCGTCACGTCACCGTCAGAACTGAGTCAGTGAAGTAGCTAAATATACTAATAGATTTAATCTGCATCACTTCTTCAGCTCGTCCCTCACCTCAGCAGGCAGGGTATGATTATATTGGCCTGTTTGAGCTCTGACAGGTGGTGTTCCTACATGTTTAAATTAAATCCACAATGCTCGGAAAAACATTAGCTCATACTGTTCGAACATCCTTATTTACTTTCTTTTTATATTTTGCTATTTTTGGTTGTAACTGGGACCCTGTGCACATCATTTCATTCCACCTCGTGTGATGGTACTGACAATAAACTTGAACATAAACTAACGCCAGTTCCTGTCCGCGCCGGAAGTCGCGCCCATAATTCATGCAAGGCACCATGGGGGCTAGGAATAAGGTGGTTTACTGTAAAAAAAAAAAAGTCCTGAATTCAGCTTTAAAAACACATAATTTATAAATACGTGTTTAAGAATCATACTGTAAAAAAACACTACTAAAATACTTCGACAGTAACAATGTGAATCGTGTATTTTCTTGTGCCCCGTACAAACCCAGATGAAAATAAGGACGTGTGTTTCCTTAAAGGTTGCAGCTGTTGGACCAACCATCTGTGACTGACAAAGAGAAGAGAAAGTTCAAGACCGGATTAAGAAATGGCGCAGACGTGCAGAACTTGTCTGACGAGCAGACGAATAAAAGCGTTTTTTTTTCCATCTTAAGAAACTGAAAGACAAAAATGTAACAAAGATGTTGGGAAAAACTGACCTGCGATGAAAAAGGGAAATTCAAAGATATTGAAATGCAGGGTTTGCGAAAGAAGGGGAAGTTGCAAACGGTATTTCTTTAAATACTTTTTGAAGTGACAAAAAAAAAAAAAGGGATTTAAAAAAATGATTCAATGAAAGCAAAGGATTTATTTACAACACATCAAAAGTGTGAGCACAAAAACATTTTATGATAGCAGCTGGATACAGTCAAAACCTAATATTCCCATTTATGCTCATGAAAATCAGTCCTAATAAACGGTACTAAGCAACAACACTAAAGCTTTATAAGAAAAAAAGTGAACATGTAACTTACATCTATGCAAAGTAACAAACTTAAATGAATTTAAAAACATTTTTATCAGAGTGGAATAAACCACTGTACAACGTTATGGCACCTTCTTTTTCTTCAAATGTTAAAAAAAAGAAAAAACACCGGTATATACTTCATTCCATTTTTCTCTAAATGATCCTTCTTGTAACTTGAGATAAGAAAGTGCATGCTCAAGATGTCGTTCATTTTCCGTCTCGGTTCAACGGACTTTAGGAAACATTTTGTTTTTGGTCACAGAATCCCAGAGTGCGAGTGTTTATAGGGGCACCGAGCCGGTTACTCATCGTCAGTAACAGACATGGGATTGTCGTACGCCGCTCCCTCCACGTCCTTCGCTTGTTTCCTGCGTATCTCTGGAGGAGGTCTTGGTGGAGGATTCTGGGGGGGATTCTTGATACTGTCTGCGGCTGGCTTCCGGGCATCCTTTTGAGGAAGAATGGGCTCCCAGTGTTCACCTCGAATAGCAGCCTGGAAAACAAAACAACGTTGTTGACAGGTGGCTCCTACGCACAACTTTCAAGTTGACTCATACCTGTGAGAGCAGACAATTAGGCCTGTCATGATAAAAAAAAAATTCTGGGCGATTAACTGTCTCAGAAATGATTGCGATAAACGATAATTGTTTGAAATTTGACAATAATTAGTAATTGTTAACTTTACGAAGAAACGTTGGTTAATTTTGTGTGTAGTACCTTTTTTTGACCACTGGATGGCAGTATAAGACTGAACTGAAGAATTGATAGTGAGGGAGCGAGCAGCGTGTCTCTTTAAGAAAAATGGGCGAGAGACCCGTTGACGTGACATGGGTTGTCTCTCGTTCATGTTTTCTCTGGGTGTGGTTTGAGCTCTTTAGCATAGCATTTTTCACACAAAGCTTTTAATTAAAAAAAAAAAATAATCAGTAAACAAGTTCTCAGCTACTTTTTGCAGAGAAAAACAACTTTTTACACGAAGACACGGGTTTCAACCGTGAATCTTGGTGCTTCGACAAGACGGAGGTTTTTTCCGTGAGGTCGGCCTGTTAGCTTAGCCTCTCAGCTAAATCGCTTTTAACGATCCAAAAACGCGATTTTGGACGGTTAAAACAGATTTTAAAGGCAAAAGGGAGGGGTCAGTGAAGAGCACCGGAGTTGAGCCTTTTGTCATCCAGTGTCTTCAGTAGAACGAGAGAGACACGAAGAAACGATGAAGCCGATAAATGAAAATCAGGTCGATAATTTTAATTTATCATGCGATTAATTGATTTATTGTTTATTGTGACAGGCCTACAGACAATTATTTTGGATGCTCACATTGTATGCAAATCCGCTATTAAAATGGTGTAAACTAGGCTTCATCCACGTTTGAACAATAAAAGCTATTGAGGAGTACAGTCACACCCCTGACTGGTCAGGTTGCATAACTATAAGGCCATGTTTCAACAGAAGTGTGTAACAATCCCTTCCTTGTCGACAGTTCTTCGTTTCCTTGACTATTCTTCTTCTGGTATAGTCAAGTTGCCATTAATTAATGGGTTGGACTGCAGAAAAATGTTGAAAAGCTGCCAACTCACTGCTAGGTAGATGAGGCTGGCGATGCCGAGGCAGACACATCCGAGCACAGTGGCAAGCATGAACCCTCCGGGCACGCAGATACTAAAAGAAGCAGCAGTGGGGGGGGGGTGGTGAGACAACAAAGACCGTGACGTTGCAACGCTTTTTCTGCAAACAGGAGGAATGCTAACTAACAAAACAAAGATGGTGAAGATAAAAAAATTAAAAAAAAGTCATTCACCAAAAACGTTTCTTCAACATACATTTAGTTAGAGCTCAAACTGGCCAAATAAACTTACGCAGCATGCAAAAACGCTCTGACATAGTAGTTCCTCGTCAGTGGTCCAAAAGATTTTACACACACGGTGAAGCAATACTGGCCTCTGCAAGAAAACAAGAATTGTATTAAAAGATGATCATGATCTGATCACATTAGTTGAAAAAATAATACTTGGATATTTGCTTACGATCGCTCCATACTTGTTCCCCTGGCTCTCTTACTTCTGGGATACTCAAGAAGACACACAAACACACCGGCGGCACTTCTTACTGGTCAAGGCTTTAGTTAAATCATGATTGAAACACGGCATACAGTTCTAACTAAATATGTCAAAGAGGGTTCTTTAAGATAACTCTGATAAGGCTTCAAAGTAAAAAATAAAAAAACGTGAAAAGATTTAAAGAAAAAAACTTTAACAAAAAAAATTAAATAGTTCAAATTCTCTTTAGTAAACAACAAAGGTTACAGTGACAAATACTAAAAAGTAACACAAATAAAATACAATAAACTGAAACAAATTGTATAAATGATCACGCTCAGCCTAATGTGTTTAAATTATGTGTTTAACATTCAAAATTGCTTTTTTTTTTTTGGCTTAAATATTGCAAAAATAACACTACAGTAATATCTATGGCTTCACTTTTCTTAACCAAGATTTACTCACACAAATCACATTTCTACATTTAGACATGCGATTCATAAACCATGACACAACAACAACTTCCTCTGAGCTGTGACCTAAAGGTTAAACAAAAGCAAACAAAACTTTTTTTTTTTATTATTATTATTATAATTTTAAATAAACCCATTTGGAGCTGCTCTTGATTTTTTTAAAATAAGTGACGGTTTGAAAAGGATACACTGCATAAGCAGCAAACTCCCAGCCTCTGAACTGCCCAGCCACCCCCACTATTCCTCCTGTAAGAAGAACTGAAAGAAGAAAAGAGGAAGGTGAACACACAAAGTACCTGTTGTTGCTCCACATGAGACAAGCTCATGTGCAATTAGAAAATGATTTGGAACAAATTAGAAAACAAACAAGAGGTGGCTAAATAAAGTAAAAATGTTATGAGAGAAAGTGGTATTTTGAAGTAAACTCTTTACCTAAGAAACTGAAGGGCTCTATATTAAGGTGAACTTTATAATACTCACTGAGACCTGAAGCCAGAGCCTGCTCATTGGCCCACATCGCCCACTCAATCTTCCCCATCTTCTCCACCTGAGAAGCTGCGCAGAACTGACACCTAAATATTTCTACAAGGAAGAAAAACGTCTTTACGTGACGTGAGGACAGATGTTCTCGCTGGGAGGCAGGGCTTTAAACCAGTCGGTCGTCATTTCCCCCAAAAAAAGTACAGGACTGCCGAGAGGAGGGGCTTATTTTGTTCCACTTCCCTGACAGGTGCAAGAACGAAAAAAAACGAGCGCACCTGAATGCAACACAAGGAAGTGGTTTTAGCTTCCAGTAAAAAATAACTCACAGATTGCATAAAATAATGATATAAACTTTGTAGCTATAAAATGCAATAACATAGTTTTGAGAAAGTTTTTAATCGACGAGCTCTATCCTGGGTTCTCCAAAAAGAACATATCAATAAAAAAAAAAAAAAATACTTTAACAAACAAGAAATTAGATCAATCAGAACTAAATTTTTGAATTTTTTTCAATCCCACCTAAATTTAAAGAAATCCACTTTGAAATTGTAAACGAAATTTACAGGAGTGCTTTAAAAGAATACTCAATTTTGAAATGGAGAATTGTTGTTTTTGTAAATGTTTGTTGGAATCAACAGAACGTGTTTTACGAGTGTGGGATTGTGAGTGGTTTTTGGAAGGGGTTAAATTGATTGGCTGATTAGTTGATTGGTTACATTGATTGATTGGTTGATATCTACTGATCTTTTTTCCTGGAAAGAAATCAAATGTGGAATTTCAATAAAGAATTAAAAAAAAAAGATAAATATTATATTGTTTGCCAAATTCTACATTCATAAATGTCGTTTTACAAAAGCTATTCCAATTGTTAAAGCGTTTAAAAATGACTTTGTATTATTTGGTAAATCTTTTTTTTTTTTTTATTAATACAGCCCCTGCTATCAAACTTTTAAAATCTTAATTTAATGTGATTATCTTAAGTTGTTTTTTCCTTCTGTCTTTTTTCCTGTTCAATTGTCCATATATTCTGATGTTACGAATACAGATATGTGATATTCTTGGAAAAAAAATTTGGTATTGATAAGGAGGTTTAGTTATAATATGTTAGTTGAAATAGATTTTTTTAAATGTGAATTTGTCATTGCCAATTTTGTATGTTTTTTGTTATTGTTAAATAAAAAAAAATAAAAAGCTTCCAGTAAAAATGAACACAAGCTCAAGTTGCTTTATTATCCTAATTTGTTTCAGCCAATATAAAACGTCCATACATTAAGACACTGATCGCTGCAGGGATAAATTAGTTTTTCAGTCTGTTATTCTTCTGGGCAACACTGTTCTGCTACTTTTAGCTCTTAATGAGCTTTTTGCTACTTTTAGCTTTAATCTACCATTTTGATACTTTTGCTTTTAGCCAGCTTTTGCTAATTTTAGCTGGTCTTTTATTGCTAATGTTCAAGTTCAAGAATCTTATCCCCAGGGGCTATTTGTTTTACAGTCATCGGCACACAAAACATCTGTACAAGACATTAAAATAACAATACATGGAATCATTGTTCACTGCGAAGCCTGATCGCTACAGGGATGAATGAGTTTTTCAGTCGGTTTGTCCTACATCTGGGCAGTGATACCTGCACCCACGTGGAAGGAAACTCACCATGGAGTGGGTGATCAGGATCTGCCAGAATCTGCCTGTTCACTGACCTCGCCTTGTGTAGGTCAGTGAGGTTCTGTAGGGCTGTGCCAGCAGTTCTGCTGCACATCCTGATAATCCCTGAGAGTTTGTTCCTGTTTTTGCTTGTCAAAAGTCCAAACCAACAAATGAAGGTGAAAGTTAAGAGTCCATAAAACATGGAAAAAACATTCTCATTCAAGTAGAAACAACATTAAAAACAATTTCAGATAAAAAGCATGGTCCTTCTTACAGTGAGTTCACATGGGGGCCAAAGGTCAGTTTTTCATCAAGACCAAATATTTATACTGATGCATCACACCATACCATTTATTAATTTTACCATATTTTACCAACAGCTTCACTGCAAATGATCACAGGAGTGGCGACTGAGGAGTCTTCTCTAAAATCAGGTTTCATCTCCTTTGTCTTAGAAACATTTAACTTTGGAAGACACATCATTCGGCGAAGTCTTCGACCACAGGCCCAGGGTCTGGGTCATCACTGCTGAGAAGGGACAGGATGACAGAATCATCAGCAAACCTTAAGATGTGACGCTGTGAAAACTGGCTGCAACAGTCGTTTGTGTATAAAATAAATCAAAGGGGCAAAGGACGCAGCCCTGAGGGGAACCGGTACAGGACAAAAGGACATCAGAGAGAACCCTGTTGACCCCCGCTGAGAATTTCCATCCATTGATGATCTTCCGCTTGTTCCGAAGTTGGGTCGCAGAGGCAGCAGCTTGAGCATCTCTTTCCACAGCCTCCTCTTCCAGCTTTTCTGGGAGGACTCCAAGGCATTCCCAGGCCAACTGAGAGACATAGTCTCTCCAGCGGGTGTTATCCTGGGTCTCCTCCCAGTCGCACATGCCCGAAGGAAACATTACCAGAGTCCAGAGTTCGTGACCATAGTTGAGGGTAGGAACGTAGACCGACCGGTAAACAGAGAGCTTTGCCTTACAGCTCAGCTCCCCCTTCACCACAACGGACCGGTACAGAGCTTCCCTAACTCATGAACAAAACTCAGAGATACTTGAACTCCTCCACTTGGGGCAGAACCTCACCCTCGACCTGAAGAGACCAATCCACCCTTTTCCGACTGAGGACCATGGCCTCAGATCTGGAGGTGCTGATTCTCATCCCAGCCGCTTCACACTCGGCTGCGAACCGCTCCAGTGAGACCTGAAGCTCATGGCACGATGACGCCAACAGGACCACATCATCTGCAAAGAGCAGAGATGGAATCCTGAAGCCACCGAACCGAAATCTCCACCCCCTCGCTGCACCAAGAAATTCTGTCCATAAAAGTCATGAACAGAATCGGTGACAAAGGGCAGCCCCGGCGGAGTCCAACTCCCACCTTGATGGGGTCCGACTTACTACCGACAATGTGAACCAAACTCTCACACCGAACTCAACAGCCCGTACTCACGGAGCACCCCCCACAGCGTACCCCAAGGAACACGGTCGAACGTCTTCTCCAAGTCCACAAAACACATGTAGACTGGATGGGCGAACTCCCATGACCCCTCGAGGACCCTAGTGAGGGTAAAGAGCTGGTCCAGTGTTCCACAGCCAGGATGGAACATTGTTCTTGAGGTTCGACCGACAATCGGACTCGTTTCTCCGGTACCCCTGAATAGACCTTACCAGGGATAAGGAGTGAGCCCAACCACTTAAAAAGTCCACAAGCCGACATGTGAGGCCACAGTCGAGACCATAGCAGCGTTCTGTCTCTGCTAAAATGTGGAGCTGAATAGTTAAAAGCAGATGAAGTCAATAAAAAACAATCTTACAAATGTACCATCTTTGTACTTGTGCACTGTACTTTTTTTTATAGTTCTTATTTGAGTATTTTATCTGCATTTTGTGCATTTTAAGTTTTTGACGTGATCATTCTGAGGCGTTATCCTCCTGGTTGTTCCTCCTCTCGGTTGCTTTTATCCAGATGTTCACTCTTTGTAGCACTTTAAGATTCATTGTGAATGTAAAGTGCATTATAAATAAAAGTTATTATCTGGCTTTTTATAGTTAATTACCTTATGGCAATTGTTAACACTATTTCTTTTTACTTTAAACCTTTTACCTTTTTTCTAAAATTATAATTTGAACTTTTGTACACACTTTATTTAAAAAAATAGCTGAACTACAATTAATGACAACAATGTCAATACTGTAATAAAATAAAGACCAGACAAAAAACAGTTGAGGATGAAAATATAATTTATACATGTTTGATCAGTAACAGTGATAACATTTGAGCTTGTGTTTATCAATTAATAAAACTAGAAGAGACCATTTGCTATTTGAAAACTGGACAATAAAAATATGACTAGCTTGGAGTTAAAGTAATTTTTTTTTTTTTTTACATTTTAAGAGTTCATCTACGTGTAAATGCAATCAATTATCGAGAGCTACACAAAGAAAACTGATTGCAATTACCAAGACACAGCGGTAAAATGTGCTACCCAGTGAAAGTTGCTTCAATGATTGGTCCAACCCTAGTGATGAAAACACATTTTACACAGATTTATTAAAATTGACTCTGTTGCTACAGAGTGGGGTTCGGCTGAACTTGCGTCTTCAGATTAGAGGAGCCTTAGTTTCCTTGGGGAAACCGTCGGCTGAAAGTAAGTTCTGTGAGGGGTCATCGGCTACACGGGGGCCTGGTCCAGCCTAAAAGGTATCACAAAAAAACGATTTAATTGAAGAAAAAAAAACTCATCTTCTGTAAGTACATTGGATATTTGCAATGATGGGCACAGATCCACTAATCCGCTAACAGCTAATAAAGGAACTAATGTTTCGTTTACCGGATCAGCATTTTCGCTAAGCAGAATTAGCTTCCGCTAAATTAGGTTTCTCTAACTTTATGTCTGCTAACAAAATTCACAAGCTTATTCCTGTCTGTTGTGGGCGTGTCTCGAACAGTCTGTTGGGCACGCAATTGGTACACGTACAAGACATGATCAGTCAACGCAGCAGCCGCTAGCTGAAGGCATGATATTAGTTTACTACATGTACACGTGACAAGCGGTGACTGGTCGACACAGATTCAGTCGGAATGTCTTGGCAAAGGCTAACGCTAAACCGCTAACTGCTAAGAAGACTGTCTTCTTCCGACTGTCTTCTTAGCAGTTAGCGGTTTAGCGTTAGCCTTTGCTAAAAAAAAAAAAATTCTTATCTGTTTAGCGGTTTAAAATTAGCAAAGCAATTTTTTTACTTAGAGGAATATGGGTTAGCTTTGCCCACCACTGGATATGTGTGTTTATTGAGTATTTAAGTACCTTGGTACTAATAATGTAGTTTATTCCCTTTGGCATGGGCTCCAGGCCAACAGCCCGCTTCAGCTCCTCTGACAGAGCAACATGCCTCACTGGAAGACCTTTAATAAAGCTGAAGATAAAAAGCAAAGAGTGACAAAGGCGTGGAAACAAATATCGTAAAGTAACTGTGGACTGCAAACACATTAGAGTAGCTGTGATTTCAAGCTTAATGAAGCAAGTATCCGTCATTTTGCAGAATTCGTGTACAGTGAATTCAAAGTATTCAGACCTGTTTGATTTTATGACTTATTGTGTTGTAGATTAAATGTACAATCTTTGCCAGTTTAGACTCAACACTCTGTAAATGACAAGTTATTTTGAATTGCCAACTGAAAGGTTTTCTCCCACGGATAAACAAAAAATCCAGTGCTTGTTAGGTTAATAGGTAAAGAAATAGTCGTTACGTGTGAGTAAGGCTGTGAATATTTGTTTGTCTTGTCAGTCCCGAGTGCAACTCTCTACGACTCTGCACGGAAAAAGAAGCTAAAGAAAATGGACGGATGAAATCTTACAAACGTAAAATATTTCAAATATATTCAGCGGTCATCTGAAGTTACTGCTTCAACAACAGTCCAGTTATCATGACCGCTGGACTTCTTATTTTTACACTGATTATTACCATGACTTTGTATTCTTCCTGAAGTATTGTTTCGTGGAACCAGCAGGTTAACACCTTTTAAAATCCTGTACATATTATTTTATTTTTCCAATGGACTCCTGTAGGTTTCTTTCTGCTGCTCCATTCTGCAGGGATCACCACAGCAAGTGAACAATGATGGAAAAAATACATGAAAAATTTGGCAATTGTTTCACACCGGATGCAGTTTCTGAAAAAACCTGAGCTCAAATCCTCAGGACTACAGGACCCCCCAGCTAATGCAGCCCAGTACTAGAAACATCACAAAGGTAACTAAAAAAAAGATGCACGGGGCTGATTATATTCTAGAATATCAAATACGTTTCCATTTAAAATTAAAACATGAGGAATGAATGTTTTCTGAATCCACTTATATGTATGTTAATGCGATGTTTTGGATAAATTATTACCTTTGCCTGATTGCTATTTTAACAAAATGACTAAGTACAGATAAGTGAGTCCAGTGTCCACCTACTCTTCTCCGTTTGTGTCTGGAGGGAAGAAATGCTGAACGACCTGGACAAACTCTGGAACATGTTGCTGTAAAGTGAAGATCACTGCGTTGGGTCCCGCATCAAAACTGTAGGCCACCTACAAGAGAACAAACAGACTGTGACCGTCGTCTAAACAGATGAGCGTTCCTGTTCCGAGCTTTAAAACCACCGCAGTGTTCACAGCTTCATTGCACAGTCTGAGAAATGCAGCTGCAAACAAATTGGGCACATTTCCATCATGAAATAAGTAAATAACAGAGTAAATAATAATAATGGTGATGTAAAAGTATGTAAAATGATTAGAGAGGCCGCAAACCCATCCAGCGGACCCGACTTTACTTTATTAGATTTTTCTACCTGGATTATTGAGCATGCATAAGGATATTAGAGAGGCATGTTTTATAGGATTTATTAGAATTAATTACCTGTGTGACTGACATTACTAAGGATATTTTAGTGTTTCAATACATTTAATAGTTCATGAAACATTTTCTCACTTCTGCCGAGTTTCATTTTGACAATTTTTTTTAATCGTTTGCACATTTTTTATTGTCTTCATTCATCAGAAAATATAATGTTTGTTTTCTGTCCCTGTCAGAACGGTAACAGCATAATGTGTAAAAACTAGAAAGTTCCTGGAGAAACTTTGACGGGGACTGCCTATTTATAATTAAATTATTATAAATAATAAATATTAATATTAATGATTATTAATATTAACAATAAATACTAATTATTAATAGTATTATTTATATATAGTTAATTTATAAAATATTAATAATTAATAATCAATGTTATTCACACCAATAATTTGTATTAATTTTAAATATTACTTACTAATATTAATAATTATTGATATTAAAAAAGATAATATTAACATTAATAATTTATAAATATTTATAATGAATATTACTAATTACTAATAATAATAATAGGTGCCTTCCTTGCATGTTGAACCAAAATGGCTCCATATGTTACTCAGTTTCTGAGAAGAGTTTTCTCCTATTAATTTCCTATGGTAAATTTGGCATCTTAGTTAGCAAAATATGTCGCCATGGTAACTGCGAATGCCAATAAAAGTAAATGTACACTTCCCGGAGCCGGGGCGGTTGTTTAGATGTAACTTTTGTGGGGGGCCACGTTGCGGTTCGGGCCGCATTAAAGTTGAAAAAGATACACTTTTCAGGTGTAGAATAATAAGTGGGCAGTCACCAACTAGTTCCTGGAGTTGGTGAAATATTGCGTCTTTGTTCACAAATTACGTCGTCATGGTAACTCGAAACGCCAATAAAAGTAACGGCACACATCACGGGGCCGAGCCGGTCGTTTTGATATAACTTTTGTGGGGGTAGACATTGTGGTTCGGGCCGCATTAACGGAGAGAGAAATGTAGACACTCTTCCGAGGTGTAGAATAATAGGTGCCTGTCCCCAATGAAAGGAATTAAAAAGACATTTTATACAGTGGCTTCTTCAGAAAGAGATTTCTAGAGCTGCTCACCCGGGTCTCGCTGTAATGCCTGTTATAACGATGCACCAAGTGGATGACCTGCTGAGAAACACTGTTGAGGTAGAAGATGGGAGGGTACGTGTCGAGGCAGGTGGCATGAAACTGGTTGCTGTCCTTCATGGTTAGTTCAGCAAATGCAGGGAAGTCCTTTCTTCGCACAGCGTCAATCATCTCGCCCATCCGGCACGGAACGACCGACTCAGCTCGATGCTGTACATAAACACGAAACAAACGGGGCACACATCAAGAATTTACATATTTTAAATTGATCATGTTGATGATAAAACTGACACCTAACAGATCAAGTTATTAAGCTGAAATGCAAAGAAGACAATACTCATAGCACCTTTAGGAGAAGACTTGTTTGTACACTGGTTTGCATTCCGGAGGTGCTGCCTATTGGCTTCCGCTCGGCACAAGCCTTTGAAAAAAAATGCATCTAATATATATTAAAACAGTTATACATGTGTGCATTGGTGAAAAGACAATTCTCTGTAAGCACAAATGTACCACCACATTTCTGACAAACTACTGGCTTTTCATTCTCATTTTGTTCCACTTAAAGTTTCACAAAGTCTGACCCACCACAAGTACAAGGACCCTGAGCTCAGGCCAGTGACTCTCTGGCTCCACCTGCTGGGCAACACTGTCCTTCCCATCTTCTCTGTTTCCCATGATCCACTGTACAAATCCACCATGCATGCTTCTGCAGGCGCTACCAGAGCCTTGACGAGCAATCCCAGACAAATTTCCTTCCACACCAAAAGCCTGAGCCAAACTATAAACTGAAAACAGAGCAATAAAGACTAGTTAATCATCATGCACCAAATTTAAACAACAATATACGCTACCATCCTCTGTTAAAGACCTGGGTGACTGACATACACAAGCAACTTGAAATAAATCTTATTTTTTGTCTATTCTGTTTATTTAAAGCAAATAAAGGGAACGTGGCCGACACATTCACTCACCGAGGCAAGCAAATCCAGCGGCTGAAGAGGCGAGTCCAGCAGCAGTGGGAAAGTTGTTCACAGAGCAGATGTGGACTTTATGAGACAACCCTGTTGAATCGGGGTCGCCGTCATTTCGCCTTTTCCGTGCTAGTCTTCTGACTAAATACAGAAAAAAAAAAAGGTTTGTCTCCACAAAACATTTAATCATTTTAAGAAAGAAAAAGGAAACTTTTAAGACTCACTCTCTCTCAGACAGGACTGTAGTCTTGGGTGCGTTATGTCCTCCTCTTTTCCATTCAGCCATAATCTGTCCTCCTTAAATAATCTGCTGATTGCAACTGTCGTGGTTGTTTTCAACTGCATACATAAAGTAACATAACGCAGGTCAAATGAATTGCTGCTATTTCTATTACTCATATGTACTAGTAAAACTTCATTATGTCTCAGTTGCATGTCATATATTTCAAGCCCCACGAGATTGACATCAGAGTTCACAAACTATGAGTAAATCAAAGTTTATTTTAAGACCTGGTCTTGATGCAATGTGACGCTCAAAGATGAGTTGATGGGTAGAATCAAATCTTCATCTCTTTTACCCCCTGAAAACAATATACAGTGAACAACAGAGCTATTAATATACTGTTGCAACACATTTGTCGAATAGACTTGAAAGGACACAATTAAGTTAATGGGCATTACTTTAAGTCACTAAAACAGAGCTTATATCAGGGTAACAAACAAAATCGAGGGGATACTTACAGTATTTAATGACAGCGATATTCACAGGAGCCGTGCATGTGACTATATATGGTTTATCTGCGTTATCTTCAGGCATAGCTCAACGTCTGTAAACTATCTGTGCTAAACTTTTAAGCTAAAATCTTTAAAGTCCCCTGAACTCGAGCATGTAGCAATATTTCTGTGCAGCTAAGTTAACCTCACTAGCATTTGTGGACGTTTCTTCTGATTGGTTGGCCGCGAGCACGTGACCTCACTCTCCACCAATAAGAAACTAGATGTTATGACGTCAAAGTACGGGTAGCCAATGAGTAGCCATCTGACCATTGTCGTGCCAAAATGGGGCAAGGACAAACCCTAATCAACCCACTGGCTTTTTTGATTAAATGCAACAAATAATGCAACCAAGGAAAATATCAGTTAAATGCTAGAAAAAAATGTTTCACTTATGTAAAATAAAATACTCAAGCATGACCAAACGATAATAAAAATTGCATCTAATTTATTAATTCCATTACTATTCAGAGGTAAATTAACTTACTTTCCATAAATTAGTTGCATGAGTAATGAAGTCAAACATGCAATGAACATAGAAATCAAGATTACAACATGAATTAGCTAATTTATGTACTTTTATAAGTGAACAATCGTGCTTTATACATATGAACACTGACAAAAAGTATTGGTGGTGTGGCACATACATGTTGCAGATGAATAGAAAAGATTTTACAAATATTTTTTTAATTCTAATGAGTCTTTTTTTTGGTCATGTGACTTGTATGTATGCTGTTGGTGTACACAAAGTTTAGTCAACTCCAGTTTTACTGTATACAATTAAGACAGAAGTGTACATCTGAGCACTTTTCAATGTTTTTTGTTGTTGTTCACACAAATTTGAATACAAGTGGCAATTTGTTACCATAGTTTTCTCAAATTAAATTCAAACTACAGCAAAAATAGCCAGAGATTTACAAATTTAAAAGGTGAAAACTTTTCTTTGTGACTCGATGGAACACATAAAAGTTGTCAAAAGATTCATATGACGCACACAATAATTATAAATGATGCGCACAAAAAAAGCCAAATTTTAGTTTTACAGCCGTTTTATTTTTTTTGTAAAGCCTTGCAATATAAGTCAGCAACAAGAAAATATCATTGAGCAAAATCCCAAACTAGTGGACTAATAGCTCTGAAAAATGCATGCATTGAATTTGCAGAAGAGTTCAAAAGAAATTTGCAGCAGTGTGACTTGTTGAAAATTTAATGTTTGGTAAACAGAATAATAACTGTAATAAAAAAAAACAATTATGAAAGTCTGGAGGAGCCACACGGTGCCATCAAGCTGTACAGATTTGTAGCAACTTGAGCAAAAGGAGACTGGGAAAAAAAAAAAAACCTTCTTGGAAACTGCGCTATCACCCACTAGATGCCTAAATATTACTCAAATGTCCTTGTTCTTTTGTCTTGATGCGTCCATTCCAAATGTGTGTGTCATCCCAGGCATTTGATAAAAACATACAAGTCAAAGACACCATTGGAGTCCCAACAATGGATAGCTACTTCTGTACTTCTGGCTCATTCCAGGACTTTGTTTAAAGTTAGAAATCGTCCTCCTCATCTGAGTCCATCACCTTCCGTCTGTTGAACTGTCCGCCAGACACACAGCGTTAGAGATCAAACATGGACAGGAGACAGCAAGTGAATCGATCAGGAGTGATATTTCAGTGGCGCTTACTTTGACAGTGGTCTTCTTCTCTGTTTGCTGGCTGACTTTTTCTAGGATCTCGATTAAGCCCGATTCTGAAATCTAACGGAGAAAACGGTGTTCATTGTTTACACGTGAAAGCATCTCTGCACACACTCCTTCAAACAAACACCGTCCTGTTATTTTACCTTCCCTCCTAACTGTCCAAAACGAGCCATTTGAATAAGATAGTTTTCCACGGCTTTGGCCTTCTCTGGCTTCACCAGCGCAAGATTGCTCACTGAAAAAGTAAAATAAAAAAACACCATTCAAATATAAACAAAGGTCTGAGTAAAATATAAACATAGACATAAACCATAAATCTAAAGGTGCACTTACGTCTTGCACGGGCAGACTGGTCTAGGACTTGAGCCAATATAGAGTTTCTCATTTCCGTTTCTCTGTTTAGAAAAAAAAAATAAAAAATCCATCATTGGTTTTATAAGAAAATAATCAGATTAATTCATCAGAACACCTCATTCATGTGGCTACATAACACTATTAGATATGGGGCTCATCATTTTGCCTTGAAATATCTTCTGTAAGGATAATTAACACACAAGATCATAAATAATGCTCTGCATGAATGTTGTTGTCAGTCTATTAATGAGTATAAAACAGTTGTGAAGGTCTATAAGCATATACCCAGTAAATAAAAAATAAAGTTTGATCTCTCTTTGTAGTATTGACATGTCACCTTTGTTTGGCTTCTTCTCCTTGCTGATTATTCGAAGCATCCTGAAAATAAAAATGGGATGTAAGTGTCACATGTTTCATTGAACCAACTGGATACTGTAGGACCAAATAATGTTTATGTTTTAAAATGTATCAGTATTCCCACCAGCTTTGTAAAAAGCAAGACAAATACGTTGTGACAAGACTACCAGTAATACCTTCGTTAAATAAGTGTCAATGTGTTACCGTCATACAAAACTGTGTTCACTCAGTTACGACGTTTAAACTTTTTACAGCTCATCGATGTTTAACGACCCGTGTGTGTCTGTATGCTTGTCGGTTCTCCTTTATATATTGTTTTAATCGGGTGTAAAACACTTTGTGCATGAAAAGTACCTTATAAATATAGTTTGATTTGATGTTGTCAAAAAGAAAGACAGAATTTTTCTTGTACAACTTCAATCATGTTTACTGGGCAGCACGGTGGCGTAACTGGTAGAGCTGCTGCCTCTCAGCGAGCAGGTTACCCTGGTTCAAATCCCGGTCCGGGGGCTTTTCTGGGTGGAGTTTGCATGTTCTCTCCGTGCACGTGTGGGTTTTCTCCAGGTACTCCGTTTTCCCTCCCACAGACCAAAAACATGCATGTTAGATGACTGGTAAGTTTCCCAAGGTGAGAGTGAATGGTTTGTCTCCACGTGCCCCTGTGATGGACTGGTGACCTGTCCAGGGTGTGAGGGGCACCAGTGACTCCCACGACCCAAAAAGGAAGAAGTGGGTAAAAGATAATGGATGTTAAGTATTAAAGAGACGTTCCTGTTAAATAAATGTATGCGCTTTAGCTTTAAATATGCTTTATAAATAAAGATGACATGACTTTAAAATCAGTGTTTCCCAAGCCGGGGGTAGAAACCTCGCTGTGGTTCTGTGGGGTGTTACCACAGGTGAGCCCCAGGCCTTCCCAGGTGGGGGCACAACATTCTCCCCCACTGTCAAAGTTTCCACACTTTGTAACAAAGTTTGTTACATAGAACATTGACTCAAACCACGTGACGTCATGACTTTGTTGTTCTTGTTCACTGTAACTTTGGCTCAGTAAGTAGGCAAACGCACAATATTATCTGAGTTTCATCCAGTTATCAGACCTTGGTTGGAGTTTATTTCTGACTTCTGTCTCACAGTTTTCAGTCTTTGTTATGATCTTACTGAACTTTCCTTTGCTGGAACAAACTTGGAATACGATGCCAAAGTTTTAAGTGTATGTGCTTAGTTCTAAAATGTTTCGAACTAGAGTTTCTAATATAAATAACAAATACTGTGGTTACTAATACTTCAGTTTGAAGAAAAAAAACAAAAACAATTCCCACCCAGAACAAATCTGAAGCCAACACACGTGCGTTGTGCTATTTTTACAACTCCTTTCAGGTTGTTGTGCAGGAACACAAACGAAGCTAACGCTAATGTTCGTTGTCATTCTGATTTTACTCCAACCACGAAGAAAAACAGATAATTTGTATTTAGATTATGCATCCATCTTACAAGTTACTGCGTACTTTATAACCACAGTGGCATATAAATTAGCTGACTTAGTTAGTGGCTTTGGTTTTGCTGCTTGTTCACATTGCATGGTGAGTCCAGGATCTCCATAAAAGGCGGCCGTAAACGCTTCCCAGCTTGAGTTCTTACCCCTTGCTTTGCTTGCAGCTCCGACATCCTTTGCCGCCTTATTGCCTCTAATTCTTCGTCTGCCATTGTTTCTTACAATAATGTAGAGCAACAACTCTGAAGCTGGACAGAAAACTACAATAAAACGCGACAGACACCGAGAGGAGGCCAAGCCCTACTAGATCAGGGGAGAATAATCGAGAGCAGAAAAGACGATCTTTCAGGGAAAAGCAATTGAACACAGAAACAGGATATTTTTCATTCAACCTTTAGACAGGTTAATCCCACTGAGCCTCGAGGACTCATTTACAAGACCTGAAACTCTCTCTATCTATACTATAATCTATATTATATCTATCTATTTTATCTAATCTAATATAATCTAGCTGTTTTTGCTACTTTTTTTAATATCTTATTTGTAAAAATAAATAAATCTGTATGCCTTTTTATAACTGTCTATTGTTGTCGCTGTTGTCCATTATTGTCATCATTCTTTGTTGAAATCAGGTCTCTCTTGTAAATGAGTCCTCCAGGCTCAATAGGATTTACCTGTCTAAATAAAGGTTGAATGAAAAAAAAAAAACATATATTATATATGTACAAACCGGATTCCAAAAAAGTTGGGACACTAAACAAATTGTGAATAAAAACTGAATGCAATGATGTGGAGGTGCCAACATCTAATATTTTATTCAGAATAGAACACAAATCACAGATCAAAAGTTTAAACTGAGAGAATGTATCATTTTAAGGGGAAAATCTGTTGTTTCCAAATTTCATGGCATCAACAAATCCCAAAAAAGTTGGGACAAGTCCATTTTTACCACTGTGTGGCATCCCCCCTTCTTCTTACAACACTCAACAGACGTCTGGGGACAGAGGAGACCAGTTTCTCAAGTTTAGAAATAGGAATGCTCTCCCATTCATGTCTCCCTTCTTTGTCGCACCTTCCTCTTTATGATGCACCAAATGTTCTCTATAGGTGAAAGATCTGGACTGCAGGCTGGCCATTTCAGTACCCGGATCCTTCTCCTACGTAGCCATGATGTTGTGATTGCTGCAGAATGTGGTCTGGCATTATCGTGTTGAAAATTGCAGGGTCTTCCCTGAAAGAGATGATGTCTAGATTGGAGCACATGTTGTTCTAGAACCTGAACATAGTTCTCTGCATTCATGGGGCCTTTCCAGACATGCAAGCTGCCCATGCCACAAGCGCTCATGCAACCCCATACCATCAGTGATGCAGGCTTCTGAACGGAGTGTTGATAACAACTTGGGCTATCCTTGTCCTCTCTGGTCCGGATGACATGGCGTCCCAGTGTTCCATAAAGAACTTCAAATCATGACTCATCTGACCACAGAACAGTCTTCCATTTTGCCACACTCCATTTTAAATGACCCCTGGCCCAGTGCAAACGTCTGAGCTTGTGGAGCTTGCTTAGAAATGGCTTCCTCTTTGCACTGTAGAGTTTCAGCTGGCAACGGCGGATGGCACGGTGGATTGTGTTCACTGACAATGCTTTCTGGAAGTATTCCTGAGCCCATTCTGTTATTTCCTTGACAGTGGCATTCCTGTTTGAGGTGCAGTGACGTTTAAGGGTCCAGAGATCACGAGCATCCAGTAGAGTTTTACGGCCTTGACCCTTACGCACAGCGATTGTTCCAGATTATCTGAATCTTTTGATGATGTTATGCATGGTTGATGATGATAACTTAAAAGTCTTTGCTATTTTACGCTGGGTAACACCATTCTGATATTGCTGCACTATCTTCAATCAACCTTTATTTATACAGGTAAATCCCATTGAGCCTCGAGGACTCATTTACAAGAGAGACCTGATTTCAACAAAGAAAGATGACAACAATGGACAACAGCAACAACAATAAGCAGTTATAAAAACTCATACTAGTTTTTTTTTTTTTTTTAACAAATAGGATGGCTAAAAGGAAAAAGGTAACAAAACAAAACAAAAAAAAAACCAGCTAGATTCCAAGACAAATGTATAAAACTAAAAACAGGAACATGTCTGCATTGGTCCCTGCCAGGAGTCCAACAGATTCTTAAAGCCACTTAGAGAGGTCAAGGTCATCTTTCTGCGCAACAATGGTGGAATTGATGATCCTCTTACCATCTTGGCTTCTGAGAGACACTGACACTCCGAGAAGCTCTTTTTATACCCAATCATGTTGTCAATTGACCTACTTAGTGTTAATTGGTCTTCCAGCTGTTCGTTATATGCTCAGTTTCCTTTTTCCAGCCACTTATTGCTACATGTCCCAACTTTTTTGGAATTTGTTGACACTGTAAAATTTTGAATCAACATATTTTTCCTTTAAAATGTTACATTTACTCAGATTAAACTTTTGATCTGTCATCTATGTTATATTACGAATAAAATATTGACATTTGCCATCTCCACATCATTGCATTCAGTTTTTATTCACAATTTGTTTAGTGTCCCAACTTTTTTGGAATCCGGTTTGTATATATATTATATACATGCATATTATATAATATATATATATATATATATTATATACATACACACACATATATATATATATACATAGATATATATTCATTCAACCCTTATTTATACAGTTAATCTCATTGATCCTCGAGGACTCAGTTACATCAAGCACTAAATCTTACGTGGATGTGGCAAAAGTGAAATGATAGAAGACCCACCAATGTTGTGTCAGGTCGCCCTCCATCCCAAGGGCTTCATCAGTCAGAGAAGACACAAACCAACTGCCCACTAGGCAGTACACTCCTACAGTGGCCCAACCGGTTGCTAGTGATACGATGGTTTCATCTGACTTATGAAGGCCTTCGGACGGAGGGTGAAACATCTCTCAACAACAAAGGCATTGTCCAGATGACCTGACTGAACATTGTATTTTTTATCTGGATGATTTGAGCATGAACTTTGATAGAAGATGCCTCATTGATTCAGAGTGGCAACGTAGAAAAAGCTGTGCAAAACTATTTTTTCCCCAGGTTTATAACTTGCACATGTACACAGCATAAATGTAGTATTTTACCATGTTTTATCTGGCATCTTGACTGTGTTTATACATTTTATTTGACTTAAATTTCTTTTTGTTGAATTGTTGTAGTCTGTACCTTACATGTTACAGGTCTCTTGAAAATGAGTCCTTGTGACTCAGTGAGAAGAACCTGTATAAAGGTTGAATATATATATATGTACACGGATGTGAAAACATATATCAATATTATCATATATAAATGTATGTGTACACACGTACATACAGATTAAAATATATATTATATAGAATATATACCCATTAGAAATAAAGGTTGGATGAATGAAATCTGACAGTAATAGATAAGACGTGTAAAATAACATGTCCTTCATCAGCAGGAGTGAAAGAATGACTTGTTCAGGATTCATTCATTCAACTTTTATTCATACAGGTTAATCTCATCGAGTCACGAGGACTCGTTTACAAGAGAGACCTGTTTTAAACAGATAACATTAGGTGGACAAAAATAATTAAACAAAAAGCAGTTTGAATCAATTAAAAAGTAAAATACGCAGTTAAGATTCTATAGAAAACAAGGTAAAAATCTAAAAACAAGAAAATATTTGCTTTGATATTTCTATTGACATTATCAAATGTTTAAAATCCTTCAAAGAACTGCAAGTGGACAGCTTCAGGTGTGTGTGGGTACTGTTACTGTGACTCTTCATACATGTGAATAAAACAGCCGAAATACAGAATGTGAAATATGTAACCACCCGTGTTGTTTCAAAATAAATTGTGTTTATAGTAGCAAGCAGGTGTTGCTAACCAAGTGCATGCAACCCCCACCACAATCAAACCAGTATTTGTAGTTTTATAGCATTCAAGTAGGCTACATGTTTTAAGACATTACCAACGTGGCAATTATCTTGAAGAGACAAACATGCTGCTGCCATCGATCTATGAAGGGTCATGTGTTCATTTCTACAAAATCTGGAGTCAAGTACAGATTATTCACCAAATGCGAAAATAATCTGTTAGAACATACAACAGTACAAATAGTGTCTTGTTTTTGTCACAAACACTTCATTTTCCAGTTTATTTACAATATATTTTCACAATAAAGTAGTTCATTTCCTTAATACAAGTCTCATTTTGAACAATATCATTACTTTTACTGAAGTCAAATACAGAAGACCTTTATTCACCACCGAGTGCTGTCCTTGGTGGACTCATACCACTTGTTTGGTGTCACAGTATTTAGATGAAACGATACTCAGGAGGCTGAGCATGACTTTAGCTTCCCCTGTACGTACTGTAGGAGAAACGACTCACGAGCAGTGGGACATGATACTTCTGGTCTGGGTTAGATATAGTAAAAACAATCTGTGAAATAAAAGACAAAAAGAAAAATATAGTTACCATCACGAGGGAACACTTTTCTTATCTGCTACAACTCTGCCCCAATAAATGAACAGAACAAAAGCCATGTTTGCTCTTTCCTCACCTCAACGTAGGGGTAAAAGGACGTCTCTCCCATACTTTCCCAGTACTGAGCTGTTTCAAAATGCAGTTTATACACAGCAGGTCTAAACTGTTGCTGTGTGATGAGCCCTGGGCATCGTCCATCATCATCAGTGGTCCTGTTGACAGAACGTGTGAATAAAAATATGGTTTTGCTGCAAAGTGTCAGGTTCTTAAATAACTGGTTTGTTGGTTTCCTTTACTATTACCTGTTGGTTATCAGATTCCAAACACTGGTCCAGGGGTCTTGTTGGTAGAGTCTGAGGGTCATGTTTGACCCTGGGACACCTGCTGCAGTGTTCAACACATGAGTGGTCAAAGGACTCGCAGAGCCGTCCATCGGTGTGATCTACAGCACAAAAAATAGGAGCAAACGTTGTAACTTACTGCAGTACTGTATACAATATATATAGTATATACTAAATACTACTGTATACCAGTTCTTTCTTGGGAATGAGTCCCTGAGGCTCAGTGGGATTAACCTGTATAAATAAAGATTGAATGAATACTAATACAAAAGTGTTATTTTTGCATGCATGAATAAAAATTTGAGAGGAAAATACAATTATTGGATAAAAATATTTTGATTTTACCTTGTTGCAATACAGTTTCCTGACTACTTTCAGTCTGCACTTGCCACATTCAGACACCTTGAAAATGTTCATGTTTTTCAGTTTTATGAAACTTTGGAGCTTAAGGATATTGTCAAGAATGTGGTAACATACCCATTTCGATATGTCTGAAGTCATACCAGTCCAATAAAATTTGGAAGTCAAGGCACTTCGGGTTTTCACAATACCAATGTGTCGTCCCGTGGGCGAGACGTGAAGCTCCTTGAAAAGATTGCAAGCCTCCTCTCTAGATTGTATGGCCCTCCTGTGAGCCGAGGCTCCAAAGAATAGATGCCCAGCTTTATTGAAAGAATTGACACGTTATTATTATATCATTATTATCATAGAAAATGTTGTGCCTCTTTAAAATATAAAACCTTACCACGAATGCTGAATTTTGAGGCAAACTTCCGGAGAGTTTGCCTTTGCCCTCTGGTCAATGTGGATGGATAGGAACCTTCAGAAAGAAAGTTAAAGACCACCTCCCATTTGTGCTCCATGTTCGCTGTAAATGCAAATAATAAATAAATAAAACACATTTAAATAAACAAGCATTTAAAGAAGAATGTCCTTCGAGGACTAAATGTTTGAATTTTAAACAAAAAAACTTGGAAACTGCAATCTCTAACATTTTCTATTTTAGATTTACAGGTCCTTCTCAAAAAATTAGCATATTGTGATAAAGGTCATTATTTTCCAAAATGTAATGATAAAAAATAAACTTTCATATATTTCAGATTCATTGCACACCATCTGAAATATTTCAGGTCTTTAATTGTTTCAATACTGATGATTATGGCATACAGCTCATGAAAACCCAAAATGCCTGTCCCAAAAAATTAGCATAT